GTTTTTTTTAGTTTTCCGGTATAAATTCTTTCAGCGCTTGTTAAAGATAATCTAGTATAAAAGAATTCGAAGAATACAAATAAAATCTAAAGGTACTTGAAACTGACTGAAAATGGACGTTGAAGTGCGCAGACGCATGCAGACATGGTGATACAACGCGCCTGGTCAGATACCATTCAAGGTTTTTACCTGAAATAAATTGAACATTTTTGAACAAAATTTGAAAGAATAAGTTGTGCAAAATATCTGTACAGAACGTTCTCGCTCTACAATTCTTCATATATTTCTGAATAGTTGTCGCAACCCCTTGGATCCAAATATAGCTTATCGCACTACGAATCCGTAGCCTCCACCGACGGAAAACCTATAACCGCATATTTTCACCGCTGTTCATCAATTGTCGTCTTAATTAACGAAACGACACTTATATATAAACGTTATCTTCTTCAACGTTAAGAATTTGTTGTAACTTAAAGCGATAATTGTACCCTTCAATCAATACGCTACGAAACAATTCGCATTACTGGGGCAGTAAAAGTTATGCGTGCAACAAGACGTTCTTTACATTTTTGTTCCTTCTGTGCTAATCCCCTCTTTTAGCCGAATTAATTTACAGTTTATTCACAGCTGAACAAAAACATTTTCTGTCAGTTTTACAGATAACATTCCCAAAATACTATTGCATAAATAGATCATTTCCTTGTTTGTATTACAATATACGGATCAGAAAAGAAGTTCAAAGCTAAATTGCCAAATATGATTGAAAGGGATTGTTCCAAAGAAATAGAAAATCATTTTCTATTTTCTTGCGGCAAGAAAGAGGAGGAAGGCTTATAGTGTTTTTGGAGTTAAAAGSAACSAGTTTCTCATTATGAATCAACAAAYAGAGAGTATTTCAGATAACTTACTGGAACCACAAAAGTGTGCGTCATAAAGTACACAAGTTATCATCTAAATGAGTATTTTACGAATAACTACGGACCACAGTGCTATCATATCATTGCGTTTTAGATCATATCACGGCAACTATCAACAAAGCAGATTTGCTGCGACCAACGCGAATGTACCGTTTTTGATTATCCATCATGACAAATACAATAACAAGTGGCTGATATTGATTCCTCTTCCATGGTTATGTGCTGACATTGTTTATTTTGAGATGACGTCACCGTGTGATGCAATGACATCATAGGGATTGACAGGAAGGCAGAAGACGGATAAGAATAATTGATAGTGATTTATTTTTTGATACAAAGTACATTTTTATAGATGTTTGGACTATTTTTGCACGCAAGATAAAATGAGGTATGCAGATCTGTCATCAGTGTGTGATAGTCGGTTTCTATGAAGTGTGAGTATGTAATAAAGATTATAGATTGCTATAATAGATTGYTATTGAACTATATAAAATATTTACTTTGGTTGCACCAAACGACCTTCTTTGAATTTATGAATCAGACCTTTARGTTATGTTAGAGCACTGTATGTACCAAGAAAACTTGGAATATTGTTCTGAAAGAGTATAAAAAGCCATTGCAGTAACTTATTTTCGATATTTGGCATCATACCATCCGCTGCGCACATTTACATAAGAAATAAGACTTAATACAACTTAATCACGCGATGTAACYYAAGTATTTCTTTTCAATACGTTTGTTTTAATAGGTTTGGTTAAAGTCACGAAAGCTTAGAGCATTAGAAAAACCAGCATGAACACTTACAAATTATCCAGTTTTCGTATCAACGGATAAAATTGTCTGTCAATATATCAGAGAAATCTTCATTTTCATTTCTAACAAACGRCCTTTTAAAGAGTTCTAACTCCTTGTTTTTCATATTGAAGACACTGACTGAGCATGTCACTTGTCAGTCATGACGATTTCAATGGGAAAATGTCAATCAACGCAAGGGTGTATTGTGGAATGGATGGGAAGCCACAAGTAACTATTTGTTAATGTATTTATTACTTGTAACTTCAATTTATGRAGCTCTCAGACACTAGGGAGGCTTYAGATTGATTTTTTACTACCAACAATTAAAAATGGCATCTTTGGTTTGTCTAGTTTGAGTGMTTTAGGCAATGCACGGAACGAACAAACGGAAATGCTGTAAGTCCTGTAATATTAAATATTTTGTGTGTGTTATTAAAGTACTCTTGATTGCAAAAGAAAGTCCCTTGGGGTCTTTTCATAAGATGAGTCAGCTTTGTTTTTTTTTTTTTGCGCTTGAAAACCAGCCTGCCTTTCGCCCTATTTCAACATACATAGGAAATGCAGGATGCCTTCAGATTGGAAAAGTTCAAGTCTTTCAACCTCTTAATTTGTTTTATTTAGTTAAATTAAAACTGTTGTTAATTATTAAGCTATAGTAGCTAGTTTATATATCAATATTTCGCCATACTTCATACCGCTATATATATCATATTCGCACGAATGACGCAGGAGCCAGTCATGTTATACTAACATCAAGAGAGAAGTGAAGTAGTCCGAGCATCAGTCGTTCAGTCTCGCACAGTCTAACACTGAAGTGACTGCATGTCAAGAACTCAAGAGTTTGAGAGTTTTACGAATGGACTTTTGATTCTTTTCTTGTTGATAACCGTGGGAATAGCACAACTCCTAACAGAACTAATTTCGAAATACTTGCACTTAGAAATATTTGATGTGTCATATAAAAAAGGTATTTCAGACAAATCAGATGACATTCTCAATGATTTGATGATAATGATTGTAATGATTTTGATAAAATTTACCTACTTATGTAAAAAAAATCTAATCCCTCTCAGAAAAGGGATATCAGAAAACATAGGACACGCCCAGGACACTCCGTTTGTCGCTGAAAATTTGACCGGTCTTCCTGTGGCTCAACCGAGCGTGCATGACAGTGTAAACACAAATTTACCTGACCTCAGGTCGTGGTTGACAGACGACATGGGCTTGAAAGCTGTTTGTTGTGACTTCTCCTGGCAGTTCACTGATCAACAAACAGAAACTCACAATTCAGAAAAAAAAACACAAAGATATGGGAGAAACACATGGCCTTGAGTTTGATCATCGGTTTCTCATGACTCGTCAGGAGTTGAAAGGATTTGTTTGCAAAGGCAAAAGCCCGCCATTTCTCCGTAAGTCTAATCAACAAGACCTGAATGCTCGATATTTGGAAGAAATGTTCTTAATACATACCCAAGATAATTGAAAGCATGGATTTAGTTGTTCTGCCTTCAGAAATCGAAAGATTTTTGCCACTAAACCAAGGTAAGTTTGTAAATTTCACTTGAGTCATTTGCTCATGAATGATCTAGCCTGCGTTTCCGGTGGTCTGCGGTTTCATTGATCAGAGAAAGAAAGCCCGCCAAAATATTTCCGGGCAGGCTACCACACTTCCAAGAAATATATTGTGTTTTTTTTTTTCTATCCTCGGAATTTTAATGGATAGTCGAAATATTTAACTCTTTTGAACTTGAAATTTTAATTTGTGCATTAGAAAATGCTATATTTTTGGCTCATTATAATGAATTGATTTGTCTATATCAATTAATTATTACTCATTAACTATTTCTGTTTTTGTTATTATTTATTTGTATTACAGAAGATGCACTTAATCCTTGTGAGCTGAAATAGAAAATAGTACTAAATTATACTACAATTTTTTTGTTTCCTATTGTTTATCAACACCATTTAGTAGCAATTAGTGCTGTCTGTGTCAAGAATTAAGTGCATCCACTCCAACGTCATTTATCTATTTATTAAAGTGATCGCACTTAAACTGTGCAACTGTACAAAATTTAAGTAGTACTAATTTGTACTAAAAGTGGACCTGAAGCAAGACGACATGGAATGCTTCATTTGTATCAATTCAATTTAATTTGCATACTGCATGCACGATTGACTAAATGCAAATAAATAGTAAATAGCAGTATTTAGTTTGTACAGTTGCATGATTTAAGTGCGATCACTCTTGTACTGTTATTGTTAGTTTTATCATTATCATTTCTTCCTGTGTTTTCTTCTGCAACCTGCCCATCCTCGCTCTATCTGTTTTGTTTATTTGTCTTGTTTTTTGTTGTTGTTGTTTTTTTTTGTTTTGTTTTCAAGCTCTACGCTATCTTGGATTGAGTTCGCTGTAGTGGACAATACTTAGCTATTATATTGTTTGAGTTTTGCAGTATTTTCCTTGTTTTAATTCTAATTTTTTCCGAAATAATTTACCAATACTCAATATTCATACCATACCATCAGAATTATTTTCAAAACTGACTCGGGAAATTGAACGTTAGACAACGAAAAGACAAAGTAAAATGTGCAAAATTAGAAAAGGAATGAAGTGTATTACTGTTAAGTGTGTTTTTATTGCGTTAGATGCTTATGACGAAAGCAGGAAGTGGATTAAAAACAATAGAAAACAAGGGAATAGAAACGAGGCCTGTAGGCCCTGCAGGAGCCAAGATAGCAAATATCTAAGGATTAAATTCATCGGATTTCAAGAAAAATTTCTTGTGTGCAGCAAAAGGATATTTTCTCGCGTCTTGTGAAGTTCGCGAAGAATGAATTGTTTAATTCCCAAACTACTGCTGATTTTTGTCGTAAGCGTGTTTCGGTTTGTGTTCACGCTCTGGAAGAACGCGGTTTACTCTATCAGTCTCCGTATACAGACGCGGAATTTTGACAGAATGTTGCGTTCTTCATTATAAATCTTTTTGTGTAATGTGTCGTCAAATATCTGTCCGTGCAATATAACATTAGTGAACCCCATTTTGCAGAAAATGAAACTTTCCTTGAATATAGGTAACGTCAGTTCTTTGATTCATGAGGGTGCATATGAAATACTCCAAACCAAGGCCGTCGTTTATTTCTTAGAATGAGTACAAATTTTCAACTATCAAAGGACTTTTGAACAAGCACACGAATGCGCGGCATTTGTTGAACGAGAGAAGGACGAAGAGGACTGTGCAAATTGTGCTCAATAGCTTTCATGTTATTAAATATTCATAAGGATTGTCTCAAAATTATTAGCTGCAGTGCTTGACCCTCCTTTTTACAAGTGAATCAGCGTACAAAACTACCTTTTGGCCACAATTACCTCGAAAAGAAACCCGAATCACAATGTTCAAGAAATTCAAAAGATAACTGAGCTATTGAAAGGTGAGTGCCATCTTATTTGAACGCTGTTTTGAACAAATCAAGCTTGGAGCAGCTGTACTGTCCAAACTGGATGCTGCGTTCCTTGGTATTTTGATTGTATGCAGACAGATCATGATCTTCGATTCCATAGTCAACTGTATCTACATCTCATCGAGCATTTTTTTGATCTTACAATTAATCGAAGGTTGCTGATGTCGAGCGATGTCGATTTTGAACGCTTAGCAAAAACAATTTTTTCACTTTCCATTTCGATGCATATACTTCCCCTCTGAATAGCTGTATAGCGTGTTTTAATCACCTAAAAACGCATTTCTAAGTAATAAAAACAAAAGCTTACACGAAGGCCTTTATTTAATCCACAGCTTAAAAAAAAATTTGAACCTGTAGATTAGTACCTTTAGCATGTTTTTATGTAAGAAAAATGTTTGCCAATGAATGTATCTTTTTGGCAATCTGTACAAAGCATGTAGAATTTCTCTATCTCTATCTCTGGAGATGTTACCTGACAAATGCCGACATAGGTTCTATAATATTAGATTAAACTTGGCAGTCAAACATGTCGGTCTGGTGGGTTCGTTTTCATAAGAATTAGACTTGAAGACAATTTTTCCTTKTGAATAATATGATTAGCACAATAAGATATCATTTTATCAGTGCGTAATACATAAATCAATTTTGAACTACTATCTCAACTTGTGACTCATGAAAAACAAAAGCAAATTAGATATCAAATTACAAGGCTTTTTTTTCTCGTCTTTTATGTTGATGAAATGATGAAAATTTAGCTCGCTTTGCTGATGGGTCAGACTTTGTTGTCCCTTATGGARTATAATTCGTTTATCGAGGCTATGAAAAACATCAATTCATTCGAAAAGTGCATGACTCAGGTTCGCACTCAGATATGAACAATGTTATGCTCATACTTCATTGGCACGACGAAGAAAATGCAATTCCCTAAAAGCATTGTACTTTGGATTTTAAGTGCTATTGAGGTGAATGTATGCGATTTCTCATTCTTCGTCTGAATGATGCATTTTTGTGTRGGTAATTATTAATTTGACAAAAGTTGAGGATAGAGATCTTTGCTTATTAGGTACATTGGCTTATAATGAAAATACTCGAATGTAAAAGGTGGAATGGAAGTTTTTTTTTGTAAACTCTACTGTGAGTGAGCATCCACATGCAAATATTGACATTTTTTCCCTCGAGAAATAATTTATAAGACAGGCGGGATATTCTAAATAGAATAAAATATAAATGATTGTTGAAGGTAGCAAAAACAAAAAAACATGAAATATAGAACCATACGAAACAACAATAGATGATAACAATAGGACGGTTACAAAAGCCCTGAGCGGAAAGTGAATAGAACTATTTAGAATGGGAAGTCTTTCGAAAAGCGTTATGTTTACTGCAGTATTTTATTATCTAGTCCAAATCTTGTGGAAACAAGAGATCAAACGGAATGGAAAGGAAAGCTTGGAAGGAGAAGAGAGAAACTAACGAGTAGTGCGAACGCTGGTTGAATAGAGGAGGGAAAAGATTGAAAAGATGGAAGGATGGAATTAGTAGGAAAGAAGAATGGACGGGAATAAAGCCATTGTAAGAAAGAAAGGAAGGACGGATGGAGGGAAGAAAGGACGGAAGAAGGAAGGAAGAAGGAATTAGGGAAAAGAGTGAGAAGGACCGGGAATGAAGCAGAAGAAAGTAAGGAGGGTAATTGGGAAAAGGACCGACAATGGCGCCGTATGAAGGAATGACATAAACATCACAGCAAAATGAAGAATAACATAACATCACTTAATTTCGACTAATTGAAAGAAATATGATGTTTAAAGTAGCGAATTACTAAAATTAGTGTAGGATGTTATGATGAAAGCTTAAGCAAGGCTAAAACCTGCAAGAAATCGTTATTAAATCAATCGTGCCCAATTCGATAAGTATTCTGGCTTTATTATGTCTATACCCGATGCATCTACTGAGTTCTTTATTAACTGAAGATCGATAAAACCTCGGTTCACATCAAACTGTGAGGAAACGATCTAAAAATACCCAATTTTCTATGTATTGGGGTTTTTAAATATAGTTTCAGTAGCAAATATTGAGTAGTACTGTAAATAGTTAATGAGAACTACATTTTTAGTTAACATCTGTTGTCATCGCTACGAGCAATAGGTAATTAATAGTGATCCTTGATGATGACGACTTAAACGTTGAAAGGTTATTATCATTCAGCGAGGAAAACCTAGTTAGTTAACTATTGGAAAAGAGAATCATTCAAATTGCAAGTTCATTATTGGAGATGGCTCTCACAGTGCTAAACTTTCAGTTTCTGATTTATCGTCATTTTTACCGCATGCAGGGGGGATGATTTTGGTTTCTCTAGTAAAGGTTGCCGAGCATTTGTAGATGCAGGAAGAAAAGGAGGAGTTCAGCTGAAACTGCAAAAATTGACGTACGAAGAGACATTACGATCGAAGGGAAGAAAGAAGAATGCAAACTCTGATTTGTTCCTATGATCTACCTAGTTAAACTACATAGCTACAAACATTCTATCAACTTTTGCAGTGATTTGGTTCGCATTGGAAGTACCCTTTTGTGTGATTTCCAATGTGCGACGTGTGATCTATGCGTTTAAAGTCAAGAGCTTTGCAAGGGAATTCATGTCATTTCCTTCCATTAATTGGCGCAGGCAAAACTCGTTAATTTTAGTTACAACGAACATTGTTCTACTAAAGTAGGAGTATTTGCTTATTTCACACATTTAAAAGCTGAAGGATTAGTTAACCATATATATGCTTAGAGGAGGGAGACCGCACTCTTCAAGTGGTCCGCCATTTTTCGGTATATGACGCGCCATATTGTTTGAGCAGAGAAGGCCTGGAACTGAAGGCAGGCGACATCTAGGAAGCGACAAAGCTGAATATTTCAGCCCAAACAGCAGTATTTTGATCCGTTGGCCAGTGTTATTCTTTGAAGGGGTTAAAATCGCCTTAATTCATGACCCCTTTGAAGTACGATCCAACCGCGAACGTTGACACACAATTATTCCCATAACATRGTCTGTCATATCTATATCATTACATAGAGTTATATCATTGCCATGGAAACCGTATATATTAACCAACAAGACGATTACATTAGAACTATACGTCGAAAAAAATATGATATTACCTTGTCATACTTTATCTATCTTATTCTAAAGCTCCAGTCCTTTGAACAGTCTATCGGTAACGAGAGAAACCTAACCATTATAATTCACGAAATTAATTATTCATTAATTACGCGATACTTTAACATTTTGAATATGAAATGATGGACTGTGTGGTAATTCCTCTTTTTTTAGGAGTGTAAAATATAGAGCCATGGACTTAACGGGGTTCAGTGTTCATGATAAAAGTCGAGATGTTTGAATTAAAAACCCACGGTTAGATACTAATTATTGTGAGGCGCTTTAAGGGGAAGAGAATGATTTGTAAAATTCTGCTCAGCAGTAGTCTGAAGTACTCGCTTTAATTGAGATTTGCCGTGCACGTTTTCCGTTTCAATTTTTCGGCTTTGTTTCGAATTTAAGTGTGCATTCTGTTTCGAAGATGCGACAATATGTGTTTTAGCTTACTACAAAGAAAGTCTTCTTTGAAATTTTGAATCACAAAAGCCGTTGATTGAAGCAAATGCGATGCTTGTACATAAAAAAACTGCACTTGACCACATATCAAATTCGGTTTAATTTACAACACAATCCTTGTATTACAATCTTTTAACCAAAAAACTACAACATAAACCACTAGTTTGAAACGTTCAATTACAAATAATTTATTCGATAAGACCAGAATTGTTTTCAAATAAATTGCTTTTATTCTTTTAAGACTTCAAGCTGGATTTTAAAGATTAAATTTATGCAGGTTTTTAAATGAGTCGCCTGAGGTATATTTGCATATCGAAGACACCACCTGTCATACTTCGAGGATCTTCAGTGCACAACGTAAATTCAAAGATCAGCCATTTTTAAATCAGAAATAGCATGTTAAAGGTGTAGGGGTTAAGCATATGTCGACGTCACTCCGACAAGAATCCAAGGTATACAAGAAAACGATTGTTACACTGTTAGGGGGCTGTCAGATTCGCAGCTTTAAACGCTAGCCATACGTTTGACAGGACACTGGAAAGCCGGTTAGCTACTATCACGAATTTCTTGCCTTCTTCTACTTGCGAACGATTTTTCTCACTCAAGACGGATTTCTTGCCTTCGTAACGTAATGTTATCGTAAGCTCTTTCTCTTAAGTGCCGAGGCAACAATCTGTTCCGTGAATTTAACTACATTTTGGATCAACGCGTTGTGAGTCGACAACTGACCAAATATCTCCCTCAAACTAAACAATATGTCAAAACTGAGTCCATTTTACAATTGAAAGATAACATTATAATAGATTATTTTGCTTTATTGCTCAGAAACCCGTTTTCTTCTCAATCATTACACATTGTATGAAAGTGTTTTTTAGTTCATAATGTTGCATTGTTCTCTTGTAGATCGCTGTTGTTTTCATCTTTGAGATGTGATCTCGACGACATAGCGCGCGATCTGAGGAGACGTTGAATGCTGTGAAATTGAACTAAAATGAGCAGAAAAGAAAAACTGTTGAAATCTTGAACTCAAGACGAATCAGAGGTCGAACTGATGAACGCTAGCACACCAACACAGGTAAGCTGAAGAGAGAAAACATTGTTTATTTACGTGCTTTCCAATGGCAGGTGAATTCCTGTGTACGTTCAACGCTTGATCAATTTTTCGTCTAAAAACAAAAAAATTTCCTCGACACTCGCTTGTTATGATGTAATATAGACTTCATTGGTAAGAATATTAATACTTTTGAGTTCGAAAATTATAGTATACCTCAATTAATTGAGATAAAAACAGTATTTTACAGTTTAGTGAAATTCTGTAAATGTCAGTTAGCGATAAGCATTTGACAAAATATTGACCGTGAAGCGTTTGTGGCAATAACTTCAGAAATATTAAAATTGGAACTATATATTTTAAAATTGGAGTGCTTTAAAAACATTCTTTAATAGCAGTATTATAGAATGGTCAAATAGATACGGTTTTTGAGTAATTGTTTTACATTCATTACCATTGATACCAATAAATCAAGGTAGATGGCGGTTTTCGATTGGAAACGCTCAAAAAAATAACGAAATCTATAAGAATATATTCAGACATATACATATACAGAAGTTCATTAAATTCAACGAAGCACATATATTCTTACTGGAAAAACATCAAATTAAATTAATCAGCTCTTTTTGTTTTCGCTACTAATTTAAAGGCAAATGCTACTGTGGATTGAACGTTAATATGCGATTTTAATTGCAGTACTAGTTAATTTTAAAACAGATGTGTTATAAATACAGAATATACTTGAGATTGAGAATATAAGCAGGTTTTTAGTTAATTTTAATTTAAAGTTTTTTTTTTTGTAGTTACTGGTCTGAACCCCGTAACATAAACATAGGGTACTTATAAGCCCCCCGGGGCTCAAAGAAATTATTTTTATCTCGCATTTCTACTATAATACTGTTCGCCCTTGAGGCTTACTCATACTTTCATTTTTCTCTCGCTTATACTTTGCGGATGATTGGGTATTTTTGTTTCTAAAGCATCAAGTATGTTTAGATCTCAGAAAAGATCAAAAATAAATGATAAGAAAATTAAGAGGGATTTGGGGTGAGGGAGAGGGAGGGGAGGGGAGGGGAGGGGGGAGGAGAGATAGAGGTGACGGAAAATCCTGGGCTTATAAAACTCATAAATAATTATGATGATTCTGGACTATAAGTCAGAAGCGTTATATAATGACAATTCCAAACTAAGTTGCTTCCCTGGTCATCGAGTGTCACTCCAAAACAGTGAAAAACGTCGGAATACGTTACGTAATATTCGAAGTAGCTGTGTAGTGAAAAATACTTGTCTCAATTCTCATTGGTTTATCCCGTTTCTGCACTTCATTGGTACTGAAAATTGTAGTAAACAGCGCTGTTAAAAACTTAGGTAATTGAAAAGTTGTTTTGTCTGCAATCATGTTGCTGTAGTCAGTTTCATCACACCTTTTCCCCCGTTCTATTCGGAAGAAAGCCAACTCTATTACAGAACGTGTAGAATGGTTTTTTGAATGGTTTTTCATTAATCCGTGAAACAAAGTGTAATAGTCAAAGCCGTGAAATAATATGTGATACACCGAAAATACAAAGAAAACGTGCAAAATTAGAAGTAATTGAACGCTTAATTGTATTTCACGGGGGCAAATAAAAATCACTCCATAAACTCTATTTTATAAATCCTATTCTCCTTGATTGTTTTGGATTGCAGACGTCATTTTCTTTGTTTTTCTATGCGTTACACTTTTGTTAAGTAGACACTTAGTTTGGTGGGTTTTTAAAAATCACTTAATATGTGCACAAGTAGACTCGAAAACACGACCACACTCGATTTATTTCTTCTTTTTCATTAACAATAATATTATGTCTACGTAATAGCGACACATCTTGACCGGTTTTGAATACTTTTGGACTTTCCGATTCTTTGCAGTCGAGCGCTTTGATTAACGGAAATCCATCTCCATGGCCTACTCGATGGTGTTTTAAGTCCAGACAAAAAGCACGGAATATTTGATATTTCAGTCCTGCGGATGTCACTGAATATTGAGTCACACCAGCCTTCGCGACATGTGCCTAAACTATCAACCGCTAATTATCCAATCTTGTTTCCGATCACAATCGACCGGAAACACACCACGGGTAGCCAATCACAGACGAGTGTTTCGTGACGTATTCACGCCAGATTTCATACACTGTCCTTTTTTCGTTAAAATTGCTCGTGTTTGCTTGGAATGAAAATGGCGGGCGTATTTGCTAAAGAGAGGTCTTTTCAACAAGCGAGAGAATTATCTAGAAGGCGCTCACAAAGAAAATGTTACGAGTATGTCTTTGGGAAAACAGCTCCGACATTATCGCGACACGGTGTAAGTATTAAGCTCTTCTTTGATTGCTTTGAAGTTTGAATAAGCGATTATAAAGTGGAGTCGTGTAAATAAAGCGAAAAGACATAACGCACTCAGAACATAACTAAAAGATTTTGGACCGACATTATAGTGTTTGATTAGAATTTAGTCTTTAACGCCAAAGCTGATGTAACAAAAAAATTGTCTTTAAACGAAAAAGATATCATTCTTACTTTTTGACGAAATATTTGTCAAAAGGAGATATTTTTGTTATTCTTTAGAATATATTACACATTACGTGTATGAGTAAGCTTTGACAGAAAAATCGTGGGGTAATTCCATTGAGATCGTATGATTTTTATTGGTTAGGCAGTGTGCTTTTAGCTTTTTCGTAGTTCATTATCCCCAGTCGTATACATTAAAACTAGCAGTGCGCCGATTAAATTATCAGTGTCCAGACAACCAATTTTCACGATATAGCATTTATCACGTGATTTAATGGCTATTTACATGAAAGTCAGTTCCTAAACTCCTTGTGCTCATAAACGTTTCTAGTATTGCAAAGCAGCTTGGGTATTGTCACATTGTTCAAACATAACGATTAACTTCAATAATTTAACTATGATAACATCTAATGGCCATTTAATTTAGCTGAAGTCTAATTGATCATGATAATAGTAAAGAATCAATTTATCAATGATGGTATTTCCACCTCTTTCCACACATTCCACATATTACCTTGTTTAATCTAGCAGCGTAGCGAGCATTTTAACCTACTGCAAAACTACAATAACAAACAAACAAAAATACCAATAATTGATTGTTCTATTATGAGTTGTGCCATTTTTTCATCCAGTACTTTGCATTCACCTTTTCTTTATTTCTGTACTAATATTTGATTCATCCACGCGCGTGTCTCATCCCTTTCCCGTCATCACGTGGTTCTCACGTGGTACTCACGTGTTTTTCACGTGTTATTCACGTGTTCCTATTGACTCAGGGTAGTCGTCGACCAATGGACAGGAACGAGGATACAGCTGCTGTGGTATTCTTTTCTTTCTCTCTTTCATTTTTAACTGATATATTCGTTTAATTTCACTTATTACTAATAACTAATGACTCACTCATATCACAACATTCATGTAATTATCACTAACCCAACTAACCACTGATAAGTTTCCAGGACTTAGCAACGTTGTTAAAAGTTTGCTGAACTAAATCAAAATTATTGTAAATCGTGAATTAATTGTTTAGTTGATTCTAATGTGTGTTCTTATTTGTGTTTATTCGTTATTGTCTGTTATTTAATTTGTGCTTAAAGAAGTTGCT